TGACCTTCTCAACTGAATTCTTCATATCCATTACTGGTTTTTATTTCTAGAATTTCTATTTGATTCTTGCTTTCAGTTTCTGTCTTTCTGATAATATTTTACAACTGTTCGTGTATGTTTTTCACTACAGCCTTTAACATATTACTTATAGATTTCTTAAAAATTCCCTTGTTACAGTTTAACATCAGGTTTATACTTGAATTCAGTTTTGCTGAATGATTTGTCTGTCAACAGTAGCATTGACAGTGGTTTGTTTGTTCATGCTATCTTGTGTGTCTCATAATTTTCTGTTGAAGGCTGGACACTGAGTGAAAAATACAGGACAGAGGTAAATAGTATCTGTGCCTGAAAATTGACATACCTCTTCTTCTTGGTTTTAATATTGGGAGTGGAGAAGAGATCGAGTCAATTTATCACAACTTAAACTGGGTTACATATTTTGTTGTTATGGTTACCATCAAACTATCACTGGATTCACATTCCTCTTGTGTTAACTCAAGCTTAGAATGGGAGCCCATTTATCACCCTCACGTTTAGAATTTCATCAAGTACCTGATCCTCAAAAGGGAATCTCTCTCCAGTCTCACCCTCTCCCCTGACTGTAAAGTGCTATATTCTTGGTCCAGAACGTGTTAGGCAAGCCCTCTCTCTCTGGGTCATAGTGGTGGAGCTTTGTCAGTAGCCCTGCTCCCTGCCAGTGGTAGGCAATCTCTAGTTCCCTGAGTTCAGGATGATTTCCTACCTCTCCCCAGAATTAAAAGGTTTCATTTTTGCCTGTTTTCAACCTTCAGCAAATTTTCACCTTTGTTTTGGGGGCAACATATTTTTCTTGCTCTTCCACCAGTGGCCTAAGGCTTTTGCACTGTAGGGGTGATTGATACAGGTGAGGCTACCTGCATTTCCTGCGATAGTAGCTCCTCCCTTTTTTCAGACCTATAACCTCCAAGGGAATCTCACTCTGGTTTTCTGCTTCACTCAAATTGGTATTTATGAGGATCATGGAGAGAAGCCTGCAAGTGAGTGTCTGAGACTCTGAAGGTTCTATACTCTCATGTTAGTCTGCCATTGGCCTTTAACAATTCATTAAAAATGTTGGTTGGCATCTTACCTGCTTATCTGGCTTGCATGACAATCCTGTCCACCTCTGCCTCAAGTCAATGCTCACATCTCATCAGTCCTTGGAAGTGCTTCTTTTTCCTTATGTCTCAGGCTACTTGATTGCTTTGCCACCTCAGCTCTCTGATTGATATTAAAAACATTGATTTTGTCAATATCTGGATCTTCTTTGTTGTTAGAGTAGAAGTGTAACATGGTTTCTATTTTTTACCTCCTAAAAATAAGCCTGTGTTCTCTCCCTATATTTTCATAGAAAGTACAATTTCACTTCTCAGATCTTTTACTTCAAAGTTATATTGTGTTCTACTTCAGGAATTACTATTGTAACTTTTGTCACAGGTAAAATCAATGTTGGGAATTATAACTTGAGAAAAATATTACCCAGTAAGATTGAAAGTAGACAGCTAAACAATTCCTACTCAGTGTGATGTATAATGCAACAGGGACCCTTGTAAATTGTCATATGCCAATAAAATGTCACAAGTAAAAAAAAAAAGTTATATTGTGTAAGACTTTGAAATATATTTACCTCAGCTATATAACAGAATACAAAATATTATCAGTCTCGCAAAGAAACATTGTAGTCATGTCTAATAATATTTACCAAAAAAAAAAAGAAAGAAAGAAAAAAAAAAGAAAATTTAAAACTTAAATAGAACAACATACCAGCTTGCAACAATTTGTGAGAAGCTGTGTTTATACCTCGGGCTAGAGTGTAAATTTAGAATATTCCTAATGTCTCTTTGCTTGTTCATCAAGTTCAACAAATTAGATCTATATAACTGACACATTTGTTGAATATAATAAAAAATGTGCCTTGCAGTATTCATTCATTCCTTCATGTGGGAGAAGGGAATGCCAAAAAGAAGTTCAGCAGAGTCAAGATATGTTTACTCAATTGTACTTTCTGCAGCCTACCAAAACTCACAAAGCAAAAATGAAAACGAGAAAAGCAATATTAATTTCCAATGTTTTTTTTTTTTGCCAAGAATCACCTCCCCAAGCCTAAGACTCTAAAAACTAACTGCCAAATATAGAGACTCCTCAACATGTAGAATTCCCACTAACAAACTCTCACAAATGCACACTGAAGTATGTGCATTGTACCAACTCTGCTGTTTACTGATAGTTGGAAAAAACCTTCTCAGCATCACTCAGAGTTTTCAGAAATTTTGTTCTGTGGGTGCCTTTTGGTCTCATAAATCAAAAAGCAATGGGAATGTTAAAAGGAAAAGAGAGACATGATTAAAATTAATATGAAAATTCGATCTACATAGAAATTTAAAAGAGAAAGGAAATAAAAACATTTGATGTACTTATGAAATTAATTATTTAAAAGGAGAAAAAATTCAGAGGTCAAAGAGTGATTCACATATCACATAAAAACGATTATTAATGTGCACTCAGAAGAATTACAAAATATCAGACAAACTGACTCACAAAATGAATGTCAAAAATTTAAATATATTTTCAGATCACTGGTTAGTCTGGCAACCAGGGATTGTTGGATGTCTTTTTTAATTGAAGGGTTTGTACTTTTAAAGATGGGCTTTCAGTTAGCCTTTCATAACTTTTTTTTTTTTTTGGTAAGAAGATGCTCTTCCACATAGTTAAATTTTGAACCATACTGAGTGGGGTTGCTCAGAGACAAAGTGCAGGCTTCCAAAACATGAGCAGGATGCAGCATATACACATACACATATGTTACACTACCAGGTAAGCCTCTGACAGCAGACCTGTGAATACAGTGAGATAGAGCAACATGAATGAAGAGCTTGACAACATCCCCCTAAGTACTGAGCTAGATGCCACAGAATGGCAGAGGAAATGAGGTTACAATTACAAATTCTGCAGATAAGCAACATTTTAACTTGCTGTGACCTGACTTTCTTACCTGGAGAAGTGGATTAGACAATGGTGAAAAGAAGAGGGAAAGGAATCAAATGGACACAAGTTCGTGCTGCTATTTAGAGTCAGACCAACAGAAAAAGCAAGTACTCAATCACCCAACAGAGACCTAGGCTGGAGGGGTAGGACTATGAGTCACGTCAGCCTCATCTCACTGCCAAGAGTGGATGGGAATTATGAGGCGGAGGAGTGCCCCGGGCTGCACTCGCATCACATGGAGAGAAAGATGAATCCAGCACAATGGAATTTGCCACTGATTCTATTCATTTTGTCTCCCTCCCATCCCTACCACCTACCACACATGGTTACCTTAGAGACAACAGCCAATGTCAGAGAAGCAAAGGGAAGCACGCGGTGACCTTGTGGAACGTACACATGTGCCAGTGTAAACATGCACACACACAAACACACACAAGAAGAAAGGAAGACAAGGTTACAAACAATAGTAGAATATGATTCTTAAGAATCACTAAAGGAAACGGAAGAAATCTTAAAAGAAATAGCCATTCTCTTCAGGCTATTAAAGTAAATGTTAACTATGTGAAACAATAGGACAAAGACATAAAATCAAAAAAGAAAAATGAGGGCAATTGAAGATAATATGCAAGCTAGGAGAATGAAAGGTAAAAGAAAGCTAAAAGCATTACAGAAATGAATTGCACTGAAGATCTGGTCAGGGTCGGGGACTTAGGTGAATTGCAGAGGATGAACTAGAAAACGGGAAAGAACGAAGAGAGAAAATACTGGGAAGAAGTTGATTGATGTATGAGTCTGGCAAAGAAAAGGTAATTCCATATAATTGGTGTTTTCAGAATGAAGAAACAGAAAATATATTCCTTGCTTTAAAAATAAAATACTCTTAGTTAAAAAATCACTTCAGTCTGAGTATTTAAAAATAATAATGGATCTGGATGATCAATACTAAGTCATATTCCCATGAAGTTACTGAATTGGAAAGATAAAATAAATAAAAGCAAAAATGCTTTGGTCCTTTTAGCTAAAATCTCAATCATCCTTAAGAAGAAAATATAGCTGACCTCATACTTTTCCACAGAATGTCTTCATAACCAAAGTGAGGTTGGTAATATCTTCACAGTGGGTAGGGAAAGAACATACAAGGAAAGAACATTCTTTGAATTCCTCAGTTCCCTGGCCAGATATGTTCTTTTTATTTTCCAATCTGACTCTTCCGTTTGTAGGAGAAACCAGAAGATGTGGGAGGTGTCAGAACTAGTTTTTTGGGCAGACCGCAGCATGAATCAGTGAAACAAAAGGAAGCAGAATTGTTTCAAAGCAGCCCATGGTAACAACAGCAAAAAGTGTTTGTGGGATTGGAACAGAGATCATTTGTATAGATACAGCACATCCTGTGGCCTTTCCACTAATCAGACTTACGCTTTGCCTCGGAGACAGACTCAGTCAAGCACCCATTTAAACGACTAGCGTCGTTCGTGGGGCTCTGATGGAATTAAGTGACCATACTTCCTCTTCAGCTGTTCTGTCCTAGGAAAAGAGAATCCTTCCCCAAATGGATCTATTCATGAATGATGACGGAGAGAAAGTGAAAATGATGCAGCAGAATTTGTCATGAATTAAAATTTAAAATCAGAATTTTATTTTATGGGAATAGAAAATAATAAGGTCAGCTGGGAAAGTAAGGGTTCATTGAACATTTGCTGTTTTTTCTTTAAAAAATTTATTGTGGAGCTTAGGAGTTGGAGGGAGGACAGACAGAGAAGAGCTAGAGAGAGATGAAGGGTAAGAACAAAGAGGCAGAAAGCTCAGTACATTGGACAGCAACAAAGGAATGTTAAGGGCAGATGTTTGTAAGATAATGGAGCCAGAGTTGATAACCAGTTTAATGATCAGTGAAGGCAACAGCTAGTGTCTTCAGAGAAGGATAGTAATGACACTTAGGCTAATTAGGCCTATAGGTCCTTTGAAATGATCAGGGGTTTAGCTTAGGCTCACAGAAGGCTGGGTTGAGAAATTGGACTGAAAGCAAATATTACTAACTTGATTGAAAGTCAGTGAATTGAAATGGCATCTCTCTACACTATCACCCCTTTGCCATCCTGGGAAGGAGGCTGCAGCTGGCCTGGTTTCGGATGTTTAGAAAATGAGTCAGTGTCCAGGTGTGGTGGCTCATGCCTCTAATCCCAGCATTTTGGGAGGCTGAGGTGGGCAGATCACCTGAGGCCAGGAGTTCAAGACCAGCCTGACCAACATGGTGAAACTTCATCTCGCCTAAAAAATGCAAAAATTAGCTGAGCATGGTGGCATGTGCCTGTAATCCCAACTACTCAGGAGGCTGAGACTGGAGGATCACTTGAATCTGGGAGGGAGAGGTTGCAGTGAGCTGAGATTGCGCCACTGCACTCCAGCCTGGGTGACAGAATGAGACAAAAGAAAAAGAAAGAAAGAGAAAGAAGGAAGGAAGGAAGGAAGGAAAGAAGGAAGGAAGGAAGGAGAGAGAGAAAGAAGGAGAGAAAGGAAAGAAAGAAAGAAAAGAAAGAAAGAAAGAAAGAAAGAAAGAAAGAAAGAAAGAAAGAAAGAAAGAAAGAAAGAAAGAAAGGGAAAGAAGGAAGGAAGGAAGGAAAGAAAGAAAAAGAAAGAAAGAAAGAAGAAATAAAAAAAGAAAGAGAAGGGGAACACCATGAGGTCCAATTATTTCCTTGGTAGACCTGTATTGAGCATCTTATTTTCTATCCTGGCCTCACCTCTGCTCTCTACCATAACTAGTGTCCTCATATCCCCAAACTTCTCTTCCCAATATCTTCACAGATCAACCTCAATATTCTGCCCAACTCAGAGAACACTATGGGTGGGGCTTTAGGCTATATATTAGCTTAGTGTCATTAGGCTATATATTAGCTTAAGTGTCATTACTATCCTTCTCTGCAGACATATATACATATATGTATATATATATGAGGATATATATATATGAAGGTATATATATACATGTGTGAGCCACCACGACCGGCCAAAGGCATATGTTTTTATGAGTTGTTTATAAGTTGACATTTCTGTTTAGGTGCTACTAATATTACTGAAATACAAACAGAATTAAGAAAAAAGAATTTATTGACTAGAAGTTAGTTTTGATGCTTCAGAAAAATTTGGACCCAACAACGCCCTCTTTAACTTGTGTGCCTCCAAGTTAGCTCTATGCTCAATCAGGGGCTCTCATCTTCTGGCAAGGAAGTTTGGCTCAGGGATTCTCATCAAAAGCATACATTTCTGCAAATTAAATTATAATGTCTAAAAATCGGTGGCTTGATTTAATCCCTTTTGTCTATTTTCCCCTGTGCTTTTGAGGTTTTACAAAAGAAATTTTTGCCCATACCAATGTCCTAGAGTTTTTCCTCAATGTATTCTTCTAGTAGTTTCATAGTTTCAGACCTTAGATTTAAGTCCTTAATCTAAGGACATAAACAATTTTGATTTGATTTTTGTATATGGTGAGAGGTAGGGCTCTAGTTTCATTCTTCTGCATACAGTCACACATTTTCCCAGCATTATTTATTGCCCTTCCCACACTGTATGTTCTTGGTGTGTTTGTTGAAATGGGTTGCCTGAAATATGTGGATTTATATCTGGGTTCTCTGTTCTGTCCCATTGCTCCGTGTATCTGTTTTTATACTAAATCAACTAAGCTGACTGGGTACAATAGCTTTGCAGCATATTTTGAAAGTTAGGGAGTGTGATGGCTCCAGCTTTGTTGTTTTTGCTCAGATTTGTTTTGGCTCTTCCAGGTCCTTTGTGGCTCCACATAAATTTTAGTATTGTTTTTTCTCTTTCTTTGAAGAGTGTCATTGGTATTTTGATAAATATTGCATTGAATATGATGCAACTCGCTTTCGGTAATGTTGTCATTTTAACAATATTAATTCTTCTGATTCTAGGCATAGGATATCCTTTCTTTTCTTGTGTGTCCTCTTCAATTTTTTCCTCAGTGATTTACTCTTTTTTCTCAAATAGATTTTTCACAACTTTGTTTAAGTTAATTCCTACATATTTTATATTCTTTCTAACTATTGTAAATGAGATTTCTTTCTTAATGTCTTTTCAGATTGTTCACTGTTGTTGTGTGTATAAATGCTTCTGATTTTTGTATGTTTATTTTGTATACTACAACTTTGCTAAATTTGTTTATGTATTCTAACTTTTTTTTTTTTTTGGAGGAATTTTTAGAAAGCTTTGCACACCAGAGTAAATAATCAACAAAGTAAAGAGACAACCCACAGAATGGGAGAAAATATTTGCAAGCTCTCTGTCTGACAAGGAATTAATAACCAGAATATATGAGGAGTTCAAATAACTCAACAGGAAAAAAACTTATCTGATTAAATAATGGACAAAAGATCTGAACAGACATTTCTCAAAAGAAGACATGCAAATGGCCAACAAGTACATGCACATATACTCAACATGGCTAATTATCATAGAAATGTAAATCAAAACCACCATAAGATATTATCTCATCCCAGTCAGAAGGGCTTTTATCAAAAAGAAAAGGAATGGCAGATACTAGTCAGGATATGAAAAAGAGGAACCCTCACGAACTGTTGGTGGGAATGTAAATTAGTACATCCACAATGGAAAACTATATGAGCTTCCTCCAACAACTAAAAATAGAGCTACCTTATAATCAGGCAATTCCACTGCTGGGTTTATATCCAAAAGAAAGGAAATTGATACATCAAAGCAATATTTGCACTTTCATGTTTGTTGCAGCAGTGTTCACAACAGCCAAAATATAGAATCAACCTAACTGTTCATCAATGAATAAAGAAAATGTGGTATATATATATGTAATGGAATATCATTCGGCCACGAAAATAAATGAAATCCTGTCATTTGCAGCAATGTGGATAAAACTGGAGGTCATTATATTAAGTGAAATAAGCCAAGCACATAGAGACAAATATCACATGATTTCATCTGTATATGGGAGCCAAAAGAGTGGATCTCATGAAGATAGAGAGTAGACTGGTGATTATCAGAGGCCAGGAAGGGTAGGGGGAAAGGAGAATGAAGAATGATTGATTAATGGGAACACGTTCTTATTTGATAGAAGAAATAAGACCTGATGTTTGATAAAACAGTTGGGTGATTATAGCTAACATTAATCAATTGTACATTTAAAAATAGCTAGAAGAGGCTGGGTTCAGTGGCTCACACCTGTTATCCTAGCACTTTGGGAGGTTAAAGAGGGTGGATTGCTTGAGATCAGGAGTTCAAGACCAGCCTGGCCAACATGGTAAAACCCCATCTCTAATAAAAATTTAAAAATTAGCTGAGTTTGGTAATGGGTGCCTGTAATCCCCCTACTCAGGAGGATGAGGCAGGAGAACCGCTTGAACCTGGAAGGCAGAGGTTGCAGTGAGTCAAGATTGTGCCACTGCACTTCAGCCTGGGCAACATAGGGAGATTCCATCAAAAAAAAAAAAAAAAAAAGCTAGATGAGAATAATTTGAAAGTTCCTAGCAATAAAAAAAAGATAAACATTTAAGGTAATGGATATCCCAATTACCCTGATTTCTTTACATGAATATATGAAATGATCGTGTGTATCCAAAAAATATGTACATCGAATACATGTCCAGTTAAAAATGAAAAAAAATAGGTGGCATGGGTTTTTGAAATAATTTATACTGACATGTGAATTAAAAGACTTGGTACTGTATCCTGTTAATAATTTTCTGTATAATTCCAGATACATGATTTATCCTCTATGGTATCCTCTGCTATACGTTGGTGCTGGTAAGGCAGGCCAGCTACTTATTTTATACAAGGAGACCCTGAGTGATAATAAAGTATACCTGTATACCTGGTACATAGTTGTCATTTAAAAATGTGATAGTGTAGCTTTAATAACACCAGTCTTGTTTTCTTTACGTGTTTAAGAAATAGTCCTACCTCACAATGCCATTACAAATTCAGGTGAGTAAATAAATAATAGGAACGCGTATAAAATGCAAAATCTACCTTTCTAGGCATGGCCTTTAGGGATGGGAGTAGAGGCCATTCTATCTTCTCCCCAGTCACTTTTTTATATTCACCAGGGAGCCAGGGTAGTATCTGTGTGATGCTGGTGGGTGTATTTTACATGGCTGAGTTTCTATGGGTGGAGTTACAAGGGATAAAAACTCACTGCCTCTCTCTTCCCTTCTCTGCTAAGGCAGAGTGGGACACGGAAACAGGTTGACATCCTTAAAGCAGCTTCAACTCTTCCATCTCCATTCTCTTTCAGGGGCCTGGAAAGGCCAGTGACTTGTTAACTCAGCCTAAGATGCTAGAGGCCAATGAGTTCTCTTTTTCTCTGAGCTAAAGTCCTGTAGTGATCACAGAATGTTGAATGCAGCCATTTCTTCTACAATCATTGAGACAGCTAAGATTTGTGGTAATAGAAATTGAGTAGAATTTACTGGCTTACAGAAAAGCACTGCTTCTCAGGCCAGTATCCTGGAGTTCCACATTCTAGCTGGTGGAGCCTAATTTTGACTTCCATTCAGCATTATTGTCCTTTGTAAACAGCTCTTTTGTGAAGGATGGGAGTGGGGAGAGGGTGATGGGGACTTAGGGTATGCTTAATTGGGGTAGCACACAGGACACCCAAGGTGCCCAGCAATGCCACTACATCACATTCCCATCTCGCGAAGGCTTCTAACACCTGATTTGCCATGATTTTGGTGTGTGTCCTCAATATGCATCTTGATTGGTACCTCGGTTTCTCAATTTTGATGGAGACCACAGAGGATTTCTAAGAATACAATCTCCTGAAAATTCTTGGGTCGATCAGTTCTTTCAGAGTGCAAGGGCAGTCACTTAGTGCCATTACCAGAAAATCTTCCTGTGCTGCAGTGATAAACTCCAATTACTTTCCCCCTTTTCTCGCTCCCATTCAAAAGTTAATGAATCAGACCATGGCGTACTTTAAATGGTTAGAATTATTTGGTACTCCTGGCAAGGGAAACCCAGTGAGGGAATTGCTCGTATTCATTTAAGCCTTTAAGAATTACTCTCTAGCCGGGCCCGGTGGCTCACGCCTGTAATCCCAGCACTTTGGGAGGCCGAGGTGGGTGGATCACGAGGTCAAGAGATCGACACCATCCTGGTCAACATGGTGAAACCCCGTCTCTACTAAAAATACAAAACA